TTTCCCCATTTCACTCTGGAAAGGCCGGAGCGCGGCGGATTGCTTCAAGGGTTCAGGCAGTTTCAAAACCAAAGGCTGAGCAGGAAGGTGTTGACCCAAATTCTCTTTTACTTTTTAAAATAGAAAGAAATTAAATTGGCCAGAAAAAAACTTAAAAAAAATTATAGAAAAAGAAAAAAATAAACCGGGCAATGGTGGTGCATGCCTTGTAGGGTTTTTCCCAAAGTACTTGAGCTGGAAGCAGGAAGGATTGTTGGAGCCCAGGAGTTTGAGGTTTTGCTTGTTGAAAGTGGCTGACGCCACGGCACTTCACCTTCTGGGCCTGGGCAAACAAAGTGAGGACTCTGTCTCAAAAAAAAAAAAAAAAAAAAAAAGAAGAGGCCAAAGATTAGTATTTTACGTCTTGTGGAAATATTTTCAATCTTCTGTTGCATTTTTTTTTTTTTGTTACCTTTATAAAAAACCTTAAAAATTGTTTTTTTTTTTTGAAAAAGGCAAGTCTCCAACTGTGTTGCCTTGGGGTAGATGCCGTGGTGTTCAAGCCCTAGGGCTCACAAGCACCCCTCCAAACTTTCCTGGGCTCAAAGGATTCTCTTGCTTCAGCCTTCCCAAAGTTAAAGGCTTGATACAAGGGTGTTTTTACACCATGCCCAAAGCTAATTTTTTATTCTTAGTAAGAGATTTGGAATCTCGCTTTTTGCCTCAGGCTTTTTGTCTCGGACTTTTTTAGCAAAAAGCCATCGGTTCTGGGCCACACGTGGGCCTCCCACAAGTGCTTAGGTACAGTGTGAAAGCCACTGCACCAAAAGGCCCCCTTTTAAAAATTGTTTACAATACTTAAATTTTTCTTAAAAAGTTTAAGGGGATGAATTTAAAAAAACAAGAACCACCAAGGTTGTGTTGGCCAGTTATTTTTGTGACTTGTTTCTTTTTAAAAACCTTTAAAAACTTATTTTCTTGGGCTTCCTCTGATTTGGAAAATTTTTTTTTTTTTTGCAGAACAAAAAGAAGTCTTCAACTTGTTGGGCCCAGGCTAGAACGTGAGTGCCGTTTTGGCGGTCAGCCTAGCTCACAGGCAAACCTCAAAAATAACTGGGCTCAAGCAAAATTCTTCTGCTTCAAGCTCCGAGTAAGTGGGACTACAAGGCATGTTTGCACATAAACCCGGCTTAAATTTTTTTCGTAATATATATTTAGTTGGAAAATAATTTTCTTTTCTATTTATAGTAGAAGACGGGTCTCGCTCTTTGCTTCAAAGGTTTTTTCGAATTTCGGACCTCGAAGCAAAAATCCGCCCGCCTCGGCCTCCCAGAGTCCTAGGATTACCAGGGCTTGAGCCAATGCCGCCCGGCCTGGATTTTGAATATTTTTCATTAAAGGCATTTTCTTGTACTATTAAAAATGGGCATTAAGGGGGGTTGCAAAGAATATTTTAATATTACTACATTTAATGATAATGGTGTATTACCTCTTACTTTACAGATAAGTCAATTATTCTCTTTCATTTACCAATAGCATGGAAGAACGGTTAAGCTGGTATTGTTCAAGGCAGTTGATGTTTTTTCTTGTACTTTCTTCTGATAAAGTTACATCTTCAACAGTTGAACTCCATATTAGTCAATTCCAACATTTGTTTGAAGAACTGGCAACTTAATCAGGTAAAGATGTATGAAAAGTATAAAAATTAGTAATTAATTGAAATTTTGGGAAAAGCTTGGGATTGAAACTGACTTTTTCAAAATTCCTGGCAATCACCAAGTCTTACCAGTTGTGTGATTTGGGGCAAGTTCACTTTAAAACTTCAGACTGACCTATATAAAATAGTGTAAAATATCCCATTTCACTAAATTTATGAGGAAATCAAGTGGAGAAAAGTTTAATAAATTTCTTTTAAAGAACAAAGCAACTTAACGGGTTTCATTATGATATTTCTTCTTTCTTGAGGTATTAAGGAGTTTTGCCCAAGTAAATAATTTCTGTAAAAAAAGAAAAAAAAAAACTTGTTAAGTAGAACTCAGCTTTTAAAATTGGACAAGGTTAAGGACATGCTTTTGTTTAACAGGTCCTGGAAGTAATCTATTTTGGCCTGTCTGGCTTTTTAAATTAGCCTTAAACAAATAAGTTTTAAAACCTTGATGGGAGAAACAAGGGAGCAACAGCAGCAAGGCAGTTTTGGTAGGTTTGTGTGGAAGTTTTTCAACAGAACAGAGCCACCTTGCCATTCAAGCGTTGTCGTCATCACAGTTTTACTCATGCAAAGGGCTTAATTAATTAATCTGTTGAGGTTTTTATTGCCCCCTCTGGGTGCTTTTCTTTAGTTTTGTATGAAATTCACAGGGAAATTAAGAATTTTGTTGCTTTTTGAAATTCTTTATTAAGAAAAGTTTCTTAGTTTCTTTTTAAGCTGGGGGCGCGGGGTGGTTCACGCCTGTAAAAATCTAGCACTCTGGAGCTGAGGTGGGGGGAGTTGCTCGGAAGGTCAGAGTTTCGAAACAAAGCCTTGAGCAACGAGCGAGGGGGACCCGTCTCTTACTATAATAAGAAAAGAAATAATTGGCCCAAAACTATATATATGAAAAAAAATTAGCTGCGGGGTTGGTTGCGGCATGCCTGTAGTTTCCTAGCGTACTTGAGAGACTGAACGCAGAAGATTTGCTTTCGAGCCCAGGAGTTGAGGTGGGCTGTGAGCTAGGCTGATTTTGGGCCATTGGCCACTTCACTCTAGGCCAGGAACAAAAGTGAGAAACTCTTTCAAAAAAAAAAAAAAGAAAAAGAAAGTTCAAGTTTCTTAGAAGGAGTGGAATATATTGAACTTTTCAAAATTAATTTTTAAAACTCAGTAAAATGATTAATTCAATTTAAACTTTCAAACAGGAGTCATAAAAAATGACAAAAGTGAAAATTATTTTTTAGTCTTGTGTTCCAGTTGGGTTTTATACCAATTTTTATATTTTTACTCTTCTCAATCTTAGAAGTTTCTTTTTTTTTTTTCATAGAAATAAATAAAAAGAGGAGGAAGATTGATAAGCACTCCTGTCCCCCTTTCCCTTGGCCCTTTTTTAAAAAAATATTTTTGCCCTTGCCCTAGGGAAGAAATTAAAAACTCTTGAAGATGAAATAAGATGGCAGCGTGAATTTATTAAGTCTAGAGATCTTTTTGTTAAACATTCTCCCTTAAAGGCTTATGGAGGGAGGGGGAAGATCAAGTTGTGGTTAGATATAGGAATTGGTTCTTTTTAAGAAGCTTTTACTAGAGTGGTTAAAAGAACCTGTTATAAAACCAGAAAACTGAGGGAACTATTATCCAGCAAGAAAGGCTCGTTTATGTTGAAAATATGATAAAAGTGCCAAAATATGGTCAATCTCAAATAGTTGTAATGGATAAAGCCAAGGAGGGGGAATATAAGCCATTTTTTGCAATTCTTGTTGAAAAATCCATTTCAACTTTTAGTATGTATTGGTAAGAAAAGTTCTTAGGATGAATTTTGTATATTTTGAATAGGTTCTCTTATTATCTCTTTTATATTTATCTCTCTTAATAATTATTTCAAAGCAGTAGTTGAACAGCTGTAAACAGGTGTTGTCTTTCTCACATATGGAAGTGGCTGTCTTGCGTCTTGCGGAGCCCTACGATGTCATGTTTGCTATGGTTAGGTGAAACAGGTTGGGTTTTTAATGTATAGTTTTTTTTTTGTTTTTTTTTTGAGACCAAGAGTCTCGGCTTTGTGCCCAGGCTAGAATGAGTTTGCCGTGGCATCAGGCCTAGCTCCACAAAGCAACCTCAAAACTTCCTGGCGCTTCAAAAACCAATTCCTTTCCTGCCTTCAAGCTCCGAGTAAAAGCTGCGACTAACAAGGCATGCACCACCATGCGGTTTCAATTTTTTGTCTATATATATTTAGTTGGCAATTAATTTTTTCTATTTTAATTTAGTAAGGGATGGGTCCTCGCTCTTGCTCCAGGCTTGGTTTTGAAACTCCTGGACCTTGAAGCAAGTCCAAGCCCGCCTCGGTCCCAGAGTTGCCTAGGAATTAATTACAGGCGTGAGCCACCGCACCCGGCCTAATGTATAGTTTTGAAACCACTTTAGCCAGTACTTTTGTGGTAGCACCTGATCAGCTTTAACTGTTCCCAGAAATCCCCCCCTACTCACTATCACCCCTTCTTTCTGTCCTCCTTTTCCATTGCTTAAAAGCTGAAAAAAATCTGTAGTAATGTGGATATTTTCTGTAATTCACTAACATATTTTAAACCATTTAAATTTGTTAGAATAATTTCTTAGCATATTTTTTTGCAGCTGAATTATCTTTAATCAATCATTTTAGGATTTTTAAAGTTTGTTTTATGAGCCCATGTTTAAAATGGATGAGAAGATATTTAAAGTTTTTTTTTTTTCAAATTACATAGCTGAATTGCCTCTTAATGAATTGATTCCTCTTTCATTTCTCATTTTTGATTCATGATCTTCAATTTTAAAAAGGGTGGAGGGCTATTTTTACCTTAATCTAATTTTAGAATTTTAAAAAGAGAAAATTTTCCTAGTAAGATATTGTTATGACTTTATTCAACTTGTATTTTCCACTATAGAAAGAAATTTTTTTTTTTTTGAGACAGAGTCTCGCTTTGTTGCCTAGGCTAGAGTGAGTGCCGTGGCATCAGCCTAGCTCACAGCAACCTCAAACTCCTGGGCTCAAGCAATCCTCCTGCCTCAGCCTCCGGAGTAGCTGGGACTACAGGCATGCGCCACCATGCCCAGCTAATTTTTTTCTATATATATTAGTTGGCCAATTAATTTCTTTCTATTTATAGTAGAGACGGGGTCTTGCTCTTGTTCAGGCTAGTTTCGAACTCTTGACCTTGAGCAATCCGTCCGCCTCGGCCTCCCAGAGAGCTAGTATTACAGGCGTGAGCCACCGCGCCTGGCCTAGAAAGAATTTTTTAAGGTAAAGAAACTTCGCTATGATTTTTGAAATGGATGCATCTTTCTATATGTTTTCTAGGAGGTAATACAGATTTTCATTGAAGACAACTTAACTTTCAGTTTACCTGTCCAGTTCCGGCAATCAGTACTAAGAGAACTCTTTCAGAAAGCTCAACAGGGGTAAGTTGAAAAATTACTTTTTGATTTTTGAGTGAAAGAGCAAGTGCTTGGCTTATCAAGAACATACCTGCAAATTTCCTATGAATCTGACATTACTTTCACTTTTATTAATGTAGGGGAAATTAACACAGCCAAAGGAGCCACTCTAATGTTCCTTCATCTAGTCCAGGGGTCCTCAAACTTTTTAAACGGGGGGCCAGTTCGCTGTCCCTCATACCGTTGGAGGGCCGGACTATAGTCCGCATGTGGCCTGTGGGCCATAGTTTGAGGATGCCTGATCTAGTCCATTTTAAAGTGCTTGGGGGAAAATTATATATAGAAGAATTCATTGTGTTGCCTAATCTGTAACTGAATTGTCCCTTAATAAATTCTAAACCTATTCTTTTTTTTTAACCCTGAGTATATGATAGCTTAAAATCTTACCTCTCAAGAATAAATAACTCATTCTTGTGAATATAGTTCTTGTGAATATAGTTTTGTAATATATACCTTTCTTTTGTAGTAAAAATAACATTAGTGCATCTACTTTTATATTCTACAGAAATGAAGCTTTGGATGAAATCTGTTTTAAAATCTGTGCCTGTAACACAGTCCGTGATATAATGGAAGGTAGAACAATTAGTGTTCAATTTAACCAGCTGTTTCTTAGACCTAATAAAGAGAAAATAGATTTTCTTCTTGAGGTAAGACTTTTTTTTGCCCTTTTGATTTATAATTTTACTTTAAGCTTACCAATGACTTCGCAGTTGCCAAATCCAGTGCCTCTTTGCTGTCTGCCTTGTCTTCTACTCTAGCTCTTTTTCTAGTTCTCCATGTTTCTTCTACACCCTTCATTGGATTCTCCTCAGTCCATCATTCATCATTGACTTCTTTTTTGTTCTCCCTTTAATGTTTTTGTTTACAGAACTCTTTCTTTGGTTCACTCATCTTGTCATTTTTTAATTTTCATGTATAGCCTCAGGTGTGCAACTACCTGTTTACTAAAAACTCCCAAATCATAACTGTTGTCTCTCATATGAGCTGTAGAATCTTTGTTTCTACTGGGTCTCTCTCTCTCTTTCTTAACAGTCTTAATGTAATAGACATTGAGAGAAGTACATAAAGCACAAGTAATACCACTTAGTTCTAAAAATACATTACCAGCTCTCTGGAAGCCCTTCTAATGTTCTTTATCAACCCCGCTGCCTCCCCATGAGGCAGCCTGTCTGTGGTAATCATTTCCTTGCTTTTTAAAAAATAGTTGTGATACCTTTGTATGTATCCTTGAAGAGTATTTGTTTTCTTTTTTCTTTTGTGTTTTTTTTTTTTTTTTTTTTGAAACAGAGTCTCACTCTGTTGCCCAGGTTAGAGTGCTGAGATGTCAGCCTAACTCACAGCAACCTCAAACTCTTGGGCTCAAGCAGTCCTTCTGCCTCAGCCTCCCAAGTAGCTGGGACTACAGGCATGCACTGTCATGCCTGGTTAAATTTTTACTATATATTTTTATTTTTCCAGCTAATTTCTTTCTATCTTTTAGTAGAGATGGGGTCTCACTCTTGCTCAGGCTGGTTTCTGGTTTCGAACTCTTGACCTTGAGCGAACCTCCCGCCTGGACCTCCCAGAGTGCTAGGATTACCGGCATGAGCCACTGTGCCCAGCCAAGAGTATTTTTTTAATTTGCCTATTTTGAACTTCATGTAAATGGAGTCATATAATGTATGTTCTCTGCCTTCTTTCTCTAAACATTGTGTGACTTATTCAAGTTATGTAAAAGTTCTTTTCATTGCTATAAGATAAAATATTATGAACCATACCACAATTTATTTATTCATTCTTATGATGGTGGTCATTTGTGTTGTTTATAGTTTTTGGCTATATACATACACAATGATGGACATTTTTATTTATATTATTTTTGCTGCTTGGAACATGTATCTGTTTATCAATGTTAATATACATAGGGAAAGTATATCTGCATCATTACCTTGTGACAGGAACTACTGATTCATAAGTTTACCTCTTCATATAATTTGGCAAAATACTTGATAAATTCTGTGAAACTCTCTAGTGTGCTAAATAGAATATTATTATTATTATTTTTTAATACAGTCTTGCTCTGTCACCTGAGCTAGAGTGCAGTGGCATTGTCATAGATCACTGCAATCTCAAACTCTTGGGGTCAAGCAATCCTCTTGCTTTAGCCTCTGTAGTAGCTGGGACTACAGGGCACGCCACCACATCCAACTAATTTTTCTGTTTTTTTGTAGAGATGCTATCTTGCCTCCCAGAGTGCTAAGATTATAGATGTGAGCTACCATGCCCGGCCCAGATTATTATTTACTACATATAATGCCTGCAGTCATTAAAATGGTCATATTTCATATCCTCTGTAATGGATTTTTATTCCTTGCTCTCATCTCTTAAATTACTTAATCAAATCTGTGATTTGTGTATGGTCGAAATAGGAAAATTCAGTTGTTTTTAAATCTAAACTTTTCAAACTATAATCTATATGTATTTTTTTCAAAATATTAAGGGAGTACAAATGTTTTTGTTACATGGATAGCTTTTATAATGCTTAAGTTAGGGCTATTAGTGTGCCCATCACTTGAATAGTGTTCATTTTTTAAAGTACCCATATTCAAATGAAAATTACTCAAATTCCTAGGTATGTTCAAGATCAGTAAATCTAGAAAAAGCTTCAGATTCTTTGAAAGGAAACATGGCTGCTTTTTTAAAGTAAGTACCTTCCTTTTCTTCTTTTTTAACTTAGTCCTTTGAGAATAGTATCTATCATTACTTATCTTTTTGTATTTGTTTTTCATATCTTATAACCAGGCCGTCACTGGTATTTAAAAGCAAATTAAGGTTAAGTTCAAATTTGTGTAGTCACATGAGACTCTAGGATTGTAAAATTACTTTTTTTGTATATTGTGGCATTGGCATCACAATTTTAAATAAGGACCAAAGGGAAATTTAAAAATCGGTTTTAAAATATTGTTATATAATTTATGAAATGGTGGCTTTATAAGTGTGTTTATTAATAAAAATTGGTTGATATTATTGTTTTTCCCAAACTAAATTATACACTTTTTTGTTTTACAATATTTCTTACTGATCTAGGAATGTGTGTCTGGGGTTGGAAGATCTGCAGTATGTTTTCATGATTTCTTCACATGAGCTTTTCATTACATTGTTGAAAGATGAAGAACGAAAGCTACTTGTTGATCAGATGAGGAAGAGATCCCCCAGAGTAAATCTGTGCATTAAACCTGTAACTTCATTTTATGATATCCCAGGTTAGCTCTCTAGTCTGCCAGCTAAAATGTTGGCACATTTTGCCCCTCTTTTCAAGTTAACATTGAAATATATTGGAGGATTGCCTCTTTGTTCTAGTTTATACTGTGTCGGTAATTAATGGAAATTTACCTTTCTTCTATAGACAGATTTTTGAATAAGCAGATAGGTGCTGGAACAGCTGAGTCCGTTCATTGTTAATGAAAATTTAGGCTTAAATACATACAAGATTTTAGCTGGAGAAATAGACCAAGGTAACACTGCTGCTAATATGTTTTTGGAGATAAAAACAAAATGGGGGAGATGAGTGGTAAGGGGTGCTGGAACCAGAAAGAGACAAATTTTCATGCATTTCAGCCTATAACTCAGTGCTACTTGTCTGCTGGCTAAACATTCAGCTTTGGCAACGTTGCCATTTTTGCCTTATTTATTTGTGGTTTTTCTTCCATTTTTGCCCTAGAGATATAGATGGAAAATACAGTGCTGTTCATTAATAAGAAACATAAGCTTCAAGACTGAATGTAGATGAGACAGAAAATTCATTTGGTTTAGCAGAAGTAGAATCTTTTAGCTGCTTTGATCCTCAGTAAATTTAAACTGGTTGAATGTCCAGTTGTAAAGGAAAAGAATAACATTAACACAAAATGCTGGAAATGCATTAGTGAAGACTGTGTCTGATAGCCTACCTGTAATTAGGGATTTTAATGACCATGTTTTGGTTCTCTAGGTAGGGAATGCCTCCTCCTTTCCTCTCCTATTACAAACCATACATTCTTAATGTTTATTAATCAAAATTAACATTTTATGCTTTTGTTAACACATTATGTTCAAAAGTAGGAATCAGTGTATATAAGTTAATTCTTTCCATATGCCTCACATAGTTCTTTCCATGAACTAATTATTGATTTTTACCTTTGTTTATATTTTCACTATATTTTTAAACTGCATTCATTTGTTAAATACAGTTATAATACAACAATGTTAGGTTTTCTACACAAGGATTAAAATTAATATGTAATTTACATAATGTTGAATGAATCTTAAGATGATAGCTGCTTTTAATTTATAGATGTAATACAAACATACACAATTTCTCTCAGTAAATTGTCATTCTCATATTTATCGGTTTATGTATATCTTTGCTTTAAATCACTGTTGAAGTAGAAATCTTTTTTTCTTAGCCTCAGCAAGTGTCAACATTGGTCAGTTGGAGCATCAACTTATACTGTCAGTGGATCCCTGGAGGATTCGACAGATTTTAATTGAATTACATGGTATGACTTCTGAGCGTCAGTTCTGGACAGTGTCTAATAAGGTAAGAAACCCTGCGTCAAGAGTAAGTAAGAAAATTACCCTTGCCCTTGTTTTCTTTTCTCTGAGATGGAATCTCACTGTATTGCTCATGCTGGTCTTAAACTCCTAGACTCAAGCGATCCTCCTACCTCAGCCAGCTCCTACCTGGAATAGCTGGGACTACTAGCATGTGTCACCGTACCTAGCTTATCCTTGTTTTCCAATGTCGTGTAATAGAAAAGCTGTTCCTTGACCTTTTTGATACTAAGGACCCTTTTACTTAACAATTTTAGGACCCTCACATGACCAGAATTGCACTTTTAACATCAATTGACAGAGAGGAAAGAGAATATGTCCAAAACAAAGATACTGTTAAATCAGTAACATCTAAAAATGAGTATTTCATTTGTTGTCAAAAGTATCTACATGTATTTCAAATATATCTATAAATATATGTATAAAGTATATTATTTATATAGTCTGTAGCTGATACTTGTTATATGCTATATCAGGTATTTTTGTTTTTTAATACCTGCTTGATATCTGAAGCCTACAGCATATAACCAGTTCATCAAAACTTCTTTACAGAACATTTTTGGCTTTAAATGTTCTTTTGAAAATAGCTAATGTATTTACCTGTTTCTGAGTTTATCTATTTAAAAATTTTCCTCATGGAAAATGCAAATAAAATAGCTTTTAAAACACCATTTTAGGCCGGGCCAGGTGGCTCATGCCTGTAATCCTAGCACTCTGGGAGGCTGAGGCAGGATTGTTTGAGCCTAGGAGATTGAGGTTGCTGTGAGCTAGGGTGATGCCACGGCACTCACGCTAGCCTGGGCAACAGAGTGAGATTCTGTCTCAAAAAAACAAAACAAAACACCATTTTAGTGGGATGTACCTTGGAAATACAAGGGAAATAATCTGTAAATACAGGAGAAATTAAAGCAGCATGGCAGTACATCTAACTAACTGTGTACTTCTCCCCTGCTGAAGATGTAGTAAAAAAGCAGCCAGAAATTCACGTATAGCTTATACAATTTAAACATGCAAATAGGAATGAAAAATTAGTTGGGCTTCCTTAATATTGATGCAATTTATTAGTGTTAATTCTTTTTTCTTTTTTTCACAGCATGTAGGATGTATCTTTTTTTTTTTTGAGACAGAGTCTCAAAAGAGTGCCGTGGTGTCAGCCTAGCTCACAGCAACCTCAAACTCCTGGGCTCAGTGATCCTCCTGCCTCAGCTTCCTGAGTAGCTGGGACTACAGGCATGTGCCACCATGCCCAGCCAATTTTTTATATATATTTTTAGTTGTCCAGCTAATTTGTTTCTATTTTTAGTAGAGATGGGGTCTAGCTCTTAGTCAGGCTAGTCTCGAACTCCTGAGCTCAAAGGACCCTCCTGCCTTGGCCTCCCAGAGTGCTAGGATTACAGGCGTGGGCCATCATACCCGGCTAGTGTTAATGCTTAAGATGAAGAAGTATAGCATACTAGTTATGAGAGGAGGTTCTAGGACTAACTACCTGAGTTTGAATCTGAGCTTCATACTTATTATAGTAGCTGTATAATATAGACAAGTTACTTTTGTGTGCTTTATTTTAGTTTTCTCATTTGCAAAGTGGGAATAATAGTACCTACATCGTAGTATTGTTGTGAGGATCACATGAGCTAATACATATAAAACTGCTAGTTTTGGTTTTATTTTTTTTTTTCGTATAGATTATCCTTCAGAAAGTCCCAATCTGGAAACTGGCTCATTGTGAATATTCCGTTTTGATTAGTTTCATTATGACTGTCATTTTCTTTTCTCTTTAAAAAATGATTTATGTATGACTTTTTTACATGTGATTGAAGATTATTGAAAGATTCCTATTTATATTTGGCTTTCTCTATGTGTGTTTATGTACTTTATGTATTTTTATTTCTTTTAGTGGGAAGTACCTTCTGTCTATAGTACTGTTATCCTGGGAATTAAAGACAGTTTAACAAGGGATTTGGTTTACATTCTCATGGCCAAAGGTTTGCATTGCAGTACTGTTAAGGTGAGTAAAAGTGTGCGTCAAATATTCCTTAAGAATGTGCTTTAGTAATTTTAGTAGGAATCAGAACTTATCTTTTCCTGATCTTAAAATCACATTCATAGGCCTAAAAGCTTATTTGAAAAGGTGTTTTGGTTTTTCTTTTTCCTTTACCTTTGTAATTATACCAAAATGGTTTTGGACATATGGATATTGTTCTGAATCTTTTTTTTTGTGAGACAGAGTCTCACTTTATTGCCCAGGCTAGAGTGAGTGAGTGCCGTGGCGTCAGCCTAGCTCACAGCAACCTCAATCTCTTGGGCTCAGGCAATCCTACTGCCTCAGCCTCCTGAGTAGCTGGGACTACAGGCATGCGCCACCATGCCCGGCTAATTTTTTCTATATATATTAGTTGGCCAATTTCTTTCTATTTATAGTAGAGACAGGGTCTCACTCTTGCTCAGGTTGGTTTCGAACTCCTGACCTCGAGCAATCCGCCCGCCTTGGCCTCCCAGAGAGCTAGGATTACAGGGGAGAGCCACTGCGCCCGGCCTGTTCTGTATCTTTTTAAAAATCTAGAGAACATAAAAAAGATATTATTTATATTCTTTAGGATTCACTTAGTAAAAATTGTATACTGAGATTAAAAAACAGAATCCCTTAAAATTATTTTAGCTACTGTATTTTACAGAAGGAATTTACAGTCTGTTTGGAAAATTGAGACATAAGTGAAATGTTAAGTCATGTAAGATAGTGTATTACACGACTAAGTACGAGAAGGTTAAAGACTGCATAACCCTCAAGTATAATTTCTGAGCTAAAACTGAGACTTTTTAATGAATGAGCTACATAAAGAAGAAAGTGAAAGACATTGAAGACAGGATAATAACATGAGGAAGAGCTCTAAGACAAGCAGTAGAATGGAAATATATGATGAGATGGGAAGCAATCAGCTATTTTTAGGGTGTTATTTGTTATGAGAAGTGAGGCAGGTGATAAGCCTAGGTGAGGAGGCAAGACCCATACTATAAAGACTTCTGGGAGCTTTGTTAAGGAGGTTGGCAGTCTGCACTGGCAGTCTTCTAGCCAAATTACTCAGCTAGAAGAAGTCCAAGATGGAGACTTTGTAGTTTTAAGAGAAGCAGTTCCTAGCTTCCCAACTTCGCTTTATACTCTTGCCTAAAATTTATGTGCCTAAAAACACTCTTACAATCCCCATGTCATGTCAATTCCTCATTCCCTCCCCTTTTCACAATTGTCCTTTTCCTGATGACTTAAAGAAAAGGTGGTGGAAGGCACACTGTAGCTTTATAGTAAGTTTTGAAATCAAGTGGCGTAAATCCTCCAGTTTTTTTGTACTTGAAAATCATTTTGACTATTGTAGGTCCGTCCTTTTTCATATAAACTTTAGAATCAGGTTTTTAATGGCTATAAAAGAGCCTGCTGGAATTTTGATTCAGATTGCAATGAATCTGTAAATCAATTTGGGGAGAATTGATACCTTAATACTATTGAGTCTTTCAACTCATGAGCATAATACCTCTCTTTATGTCTTTAATCTCATGTTTTGTAATTTCCAGCATACAAATCTTACACATATTTTGTTAGATTTATCCTTAAATGCATTAAAGTTTTAAGAAACAGAAGCAAAGCATAATTCTTTATTCAAAAATCACTATTTTCACTATGCCGGGAATAATATCCCTTGCCTCTTCTTCAACTTATGCTAAAAAATATTTGTCATTTAAAAATTTACATAGGGAAGTAAATGCTTTTATAAAACTGTTTTAACAGGGAAGTTTGCAAAGAATCTTTTTTTTTTTTTTTTTTTTTGAGACAGGGTCTCACCACTCTGTCCCCCCGGGCTAGAGTGCAGTGGCATCATCATAGCTCACTGCAATCTTGAACTTGGGGGCTCAGGCGATTCTTCTGCTGCCTTAATCTCCCGTGTAGCTGGTACTACAGGTGCACACCACAATGACAAGCTAGTTTATTTTTTGTAAAAACAGGGTCTTGCTATGTTGCTCAGACTGGTCTCGGACTCCTGGCCTCAAGTGATCCTCCCACTTCAGCCTCCCAAAGTGCTAGGATTACAGGCATGAGCCACCGTGACCAGGCCAAAGAATCTTTTGAAGACAGTGCTTTAGACCAGTGGTTTTCAAAGTATAGTCCCCACACCAGCAGCATCTCTCACATTTGGGAACTTGTTAGAAATGTAATTGTTGGGCCCTACCTTGGACCTACTGAATCATAAACTCTGGGGATGGGACCCAGTATCCTTTTTAATAATCTCTTCAAGTAATTCTGATACATGCTAAAGTTTTGAGAACTTCTCTAGACCAACACTGTCCGGTAGAAATATAGTGTGGGTCATGTATGTGATTTATAATTTTTTAGTAGCCACATTTTTTAAAGTACAAATACGGTAAAGTCGATTTTAATGATGTATTTTGTTTAACTCAATATATCTAAACTATCACTTCTATATATAATCAATATAAAAAATTGATATATTTTCCATTTTTGAAATGTGTGTGCTAATCCAGTGAGTATTTTATACTTATAGCACCTCTCAAGTTGGACTAGTCACATTTCACATGCTCAGTCGCCGCATGTTGCTACTGGTCGCCATGTTGGATGGCATGTTACTAGATAATTGTAAGCCATTGAAAAGTTTGATGGCGGAATGTAGTTGGCAGCTTTTCTCCTTCCACACTTAAAATAACATTTATTGGGCACATAGACTATTTTGCAATTTCATATACATTCTTTCATTTATTCACAAAAAGTTGTGTGGAGGGTGCTATCAGTTTTATAGGTAAGAAATCAGAGACTCAAAGGTATTAAATTGTCCAAGGTCACATAACTAGTAAGTGACACAAGTATTAGAAAGGATAAAAAGAAGAGAGCATATCAGAGAAATATTTAGGTGGTAAAGTCTAGAAATGATGGGAAACTGATTTGATGTAGAAGGCAAGAGGGAGAAAAGAATCAAGGATGATGCTCAAGTTTTTAGTTTGGGCACCAGAGAACAGATGACAAGTACCAGCAAGTGAACATGCAGAAAAACATTTTTGAGGGGCAGATTATGAATTCATTTTTACATGTTGAATTTGAGGCTGTAATTGGAAACATCAGCCTGAAACTTGGGTAATGGTATGGACTGGAGTTATATACCATTTGGGAGTCAGATTTGGGAGTCATCAGAGATTACCCAGGGAGAATATATACAGAGCATGGGACCCTGGGGAATGTCAACACTGGGTTCAAGAAAGAGTGGTGTGATGGTTATGAGGACCAGACAAATGTGAAGTCACACCAGCCAAGGGAAAGGAGAATTGTCAAGGAAAAGGCAGTGCCTACCACTGAGTTGCAGCCCCTAATTCCAATAAGATAATGGAACAGTGTTTAGTAGATCGGACAATTAAGAAGAGCTTTGGTTTGTGAGAGCTGTTTCTTTGTAGTGATGGGGATAGAAGCCACATTTCTGGAATAAATGAGACAGGTGGAGAAAGATGATAAGTGAAGACTAGTCTTTGGAAAAGTTAGAGTGAGATGGGTAAGAAAAGACTTGGATCATAGCTTATTTGATTTGTTTATTAGGCAATTACATAGGCTAATTGGGTGGTGTGTGAAGATTTTAGAATGTGAAACCTATTGAAGAGTCGAAGGTAGAGGAATGCTTGTAATAGAATTTTACACCTGTATGATACAGAAGTCTTTGTCAGTTTATAATTTTTGTAAAACTTGTTTAATATATTTTATATTGTTTATTGGATTATTTTACATTATAAAGGAATAAAATATTTATTAGAATAAATCAATAATGCAGAGATGATAAAGAAAGATAATCTAGCCTCATTCCCTGGGATGAGTGATGTTAACCATTTAAATTAATCCTTCTCCCCTTTGCTCTGTGTTTATAAAGGCACACAGTTTTTGACTCCACAGGATGGGTGACCCAGGCTATTCTGTTATTTCTCTGTATAGGATTTTTCCCATGCTAAACAGCTCTTTGCTGCTTGTTTGGAGTTGGTAACAGAGTTCTCACCAAAGCTTCGTCAAGTCATGCTGAATGAGATGTTGCTTTTGGATATTCATACACATGAAGCTGGAATGGGGCAATCAGGAGAGAGACCTCCTTCTGATCTTATTAGTAGAGTGCGAGGATATCTGGAAATGAGGCTTCCTGGTAAGACTATTTCACAAAGACAGATTTCAGAAATTCAGCACTCAAATAATTATGGGGGAAAATCTTAAAGAAAACTTACTTGAGGCTGGGCGCGGTGGCTCACGCCTGTAATCCTAGCTCTCTGGAGGCCGAGGCGGGATTGCTCGGACGGTCAGGAGTTCGAAACCAGCTGGCAAAGAAGCGAGACCCCTCATCTTGACTATAAAGAGGAAAGAATTAATTGGTCCAAATAAGTATATATAAAAAGAATTAACGGCGGGGGTGGTGCATCCTATAGTCCCAGCATTGGGAGGCTGATGCAGAAGGTGCTGAGGCAGGAGGTTTGAGTTCTGTGAGGTAGGTGAGCCACCGGAGTCTTCTAGCCTAGGCAAACAAAGCCGAGACTCTGTCTCAAAAAAAAAAAAGAAAACCTTACGTTGACTTAATATCTTTAAAAAAGTATTTTCCTCCTTAAACAGTTTGGGTTTATAGTTCCTGGAAATATTGGAAAAATGGAGAAATTATCGAATTTCTGGATTTCTGATGATAGTACCACAAACTGGTGACTTAAACAAACAGAGAAATGTATTCTCTCCAGTTCTCTGGGGAAGCGAGATTCTGAATTAAGGTGTTTGTTAGGGCATGCTCCCCAGAGCTCCAGGAACAGTCCCTGGTTCCTAGGCTTCATGTTTGGCCCCTGCAATTCTTTGGCGTTCCTTGGCTTTGAGCTGCATTGCTGTGGTCATACCTCGTCTTCACACGACATTCTCTTCATGTGTGTCTGTGTTTCTTCTCTTCTTATAGGACACGAGTCCCTGATTTAGGGTCTGTCCTAATCCAGTATGACCTATCTTAAATACATCGCAAAGACCCTTATTCCAAATAAGGTCACATTCTGACGTTCAAGGTGCGATGAATTTTTGGGGACAGTTCACACTATAGAAACTATAGTTGCAATTTTAAAATATTCTGTTAAAGAATGCAAATGTCTTGATACATCTGGTTGATGGTTTATTTCCTCATTATAGCACAAAATGTCCTCAACTGATTTGCGCCTGGGCCAGGAATTTACTCTGTGGCCACTTTAGGAACAGACCATGAGTGTCCTTTCTAATTATAAATATCTTAACCATGAAAGGGACCTATCATAGTAACTGTCATCTGGTCAAACCTTCTTAGTTAAAGGCAGGTTTTTAAATTTTATATGTTTTAAGAGTATAGCAATTAAATCATACTGTACACATTTAATACTATAAATAGTAAAATTTCATTGTAAAGGAAGATGCTAATAATGTGCCAAAACAGAAACAATTGCTGGCTTCCTGGGGTCTTAATGAATTAGTTTAATTATTACATTCTAATTTCTACATTCTAGTAGTTCAGTGCAGAGGTAGATAGTTACAAATCACAACTTTTTAGCACCCTATAGATAATAGAATACCTTTGAGCTTTGATGCATCAGTCCCTTTTAATATCATAATGTCTTTATAAGAATGATCTAATAATGTGTTGCTAATGGACACATGCAACTGTGTACATGTTTACTTTATAAAGGTGGGAGTTTTTCATACATGGTTTTTATAAAATTAAAAGCAAAAAGAATTTTAAGACCCTAACATTTGTTAAGTGCTAACTACATAAAGAAAGAAAAGAAAAGAAGGAAAAATCTAATCAGATTTGCTTAGACATTTATCAGACATTATTCTAAGAACTACAGGTACATAACTCATTTAATCCTCATAGTGGCCTCAGTAGCCACTATTTCATTCTCATTTTGTAAATAAATAGGTGCAGAGAGTTTAAGAGATTTGCCCAAAGTCACACAAGAAGAGGGAGAACTATGATTTTAATCCATCAATCTTTGCAGCCTGTGCTCTAACTCTTTGAAATGGTTGGAAATGCCTTTAAATAATTACTTTGTACTACCTTTTTAGCTTAACATTTAGGAGTTCACGTCCTTTTTTCCTTTTTTTGTGTTAAAGGACTCATAGCTCTTCACAATCATTTGTGTAAACTCCTGGCATAATTGAATGGTCAGCAGCTTGTCCTAGAGCTTGTGCTTATTTTTTTTTTTTTTTTCTTTTTCAGTCAAAGTCCTTGAACTTGTAAGCTTGTGCTTATTAATCAGTCTTTAAATTAAGAAGGAAAAGTTGTTTTGTTTTAAATAGGAGGAACAAGAAAACAGTTTTTTCCTGTAGGTATAGTTTTTTGTTTTTGACTAAGCCTCAACTGTGGACTAAGTTACCTGAGTTCAGTACAGATCAACTTGTGGCTGTGATGCTTTTACAGCTCTGCACTTCAGTGCCACTGGGGGAGTTGGGGTTTGTAGTTAAGATAGGGGCAGCAGAGTGTTATCTGCCACCTTCTTGCCACTCCTTTTTTAAGGAATAAAGTTGTTCCCTAGTGCTATAAGGCCAATTTTGAACTACTTAGATGCATGCCCTCTATCAAACACAGAAGGGAAAGCACTCTCATGTGGGTTGACCTGGTGTTATTACCAGGAACAAGAAGTAATCTTAACTGACAACAGCCTTTTGGTTATAATAGAAATATAGGCTACAAACTATTCTAAGACCAGTATGCCTTTTGGAAGTTATGCCTTTTAATAGCTTTATAGCTAAATAGAGCAATTTTCTATTCAGACACATGTTCTTATGGTCCTCAGTTTCAACAATATTGAATGTAAGGCCTACTCTGGCTGTTAAAGCATATGACTTTGTGCTTATTTTTAATGAATAAAGGAGAGAATACTTTTTTAAAGATAATTAAAAGCAAGTAAGTTTTCTTTTTTTTTTTTTTGAGACAGAGTCTCGCTTGTTGCCTAAGGCTAGAATGAGTTGCCTGGCATCAGCCTAGCTCACAGCAACCTCAAACTCCTGGGCTCAAGCAATCCTCTGCTCAGCCTCCAGTGGGCTGGACTAGGCATGCACCACCACGCCGGTTAATTTTTTTCTATATATAATAGTTGGCCAATTAATTACTTTCCTCTTTATAGAGAGCGGGGTCTCGCTCTTGCCAGGCTGGTTTGAACTCCTGACCTCGAGCAATCCGCCCCGCCTCGGCCTCCCAGAGAGCTAGGATTACTGCGTGAGCCCACCGACGCCCAGCCTCAAGTAAGTTTTCTTTAAGATTTTCCCCCCATAATTTATTTGAGTGCCTGAATTCTCTGACAATCTGTCTTTGTAAAAGTCTTAAGGAAGCCTCAGTTTCCAGATATTCCTCGCACTCTACTAATAAGATCAGAAGGAGGTCTCTCTCCTGATTGCCCGCATTCCAGCTTCATGTGTATGATATCCAAAAGCAACATCTCATTCAGCATGATGTTGAAACGAAGCTTTGGTGAGAACTCTGTACCAACTCCAAACAAGCAGCAAAGAGCTGTTTAGCATGGGAAAAATCCTATACAGGAGAAATAACAGAATAGCCTGGTCACCCATCCTGTGGAGTCAAAAAACTGTGTGCTTTATAAACACAGAGCAATAGAGGGAGAAGGATTAATTATAATGGTTAACATTCACTCATCCCAGGGAATGAGGCTAGATTATCTTTCTTTAATCATCTCTGCATTATTGATTTATCTAATAAATATTTTATTCCTTTAATAATGAAATAATCCAATAACAATATAAAATATATTAAACAAGTTTACAAAAATTAGTAAACTGACCAAAGACTCTGTAGTCATACAGTGTAATATTCTATTACAAGCTTTTCCTCTACCTTCGACTCTTCATTAGGTGTTCACATTCTAAAACTTCACACACCACCCAATTAGCCTATGTAATTGCCTAATAAACAATCAAATAAGCTATGATCCAAGGTCTTTTCTTACCCATCCCACTCTAACTTTTCCAAAGACTAGTCTCACTTATCATCTTTCTCACCTGTCTCAATTCATTCCAGAAATGTGGCTTCTATCCCCATCACTACAAAGAAACAGCTCTCACAAACGCAAAGCTCTTTCTTAATTGTCCGATCTACTAAACACTGTTCCATTATCTTATTGGAATTAGGGGCTGCCAACTCAGTGGTAGGCGACTGGCCTTTTCCTTGACAATTCTCCTTTCCCTTGGCTGGTGTGACTTCACATTTGTCTGGTCCTCATAACCATTCCACACCACTCTTTCTTGAACCCAGTGTTGACATTCCCCAGGGTCCCATGCTCTGTATATATTCTCCGGGTAATCTCTGATGCTCCCAAACTGACTCCCAAATGGTATATAACTCCAGTCCATACAATTACCCGCAAGTTTCAGGCTGATTGTTCCAATTACAGCCTCAAATTCAACATGTAAAAATGAATCATATAATCTGCCCCTCCAAAAATGTTTTTCTGCATGTTCCTTGCTGGTACTTGTCATCTGTCTCTGGTGCCCAACTAGAAACTTGAGCACTCATCCTTGATTCTTTTCTCCCTCTTGCCTTCTACATCAAATCAGTTTCCCATCATTTCTAGACTTTACCACCTAATATTCTCTGATATGCTCTCTTCTCTTTATCCTTTTCTCAATACTTGTGTCACTTACTGTTATGTGACTTTGGACAATTTAATACCTTTGAGTCCTCTGTTTCTTACCTATAAAACTGATAGCAGCCCTCCACACAACTTTTGTGAAATAAATGAAGAATGTATATGAAATTGCAAAATAGTCTATTTGCCCAATAAATGTTGATTTTAAGTGTGGAAGGAGAAAAGCTGCCAACTACATTGTCACTCCCATCAAAACTTTTCCAATGGCTTACAATTATCTAGGTAAGCGTGGCCGATCCAGACATGGGACCCAGTAGCAACATGCGCGGCGAGCTTGAGCATGGTGAAATAGTGACTAGTCGCAACGTTGAGAGGTGCTAGGTAAGTAAGAAAATACTCACGGATTAGGCAGCAACACATTTCAATAAATGAAAGATTAGTATCAATTTTGTATATTGATTATATAACTAGAAGTGGATATTTTAGATACTATTGAGTTAACAAAATACATCCATTAAAATCGACTTTACGGCCTATTTTGTACTTTAAA